CATGTTATTGTTGTTGATAAATGCTGCTGAGTTGGTTCCAACTCATAGTGACCCTATATAGGGTTTCCAGGGAGCGGATGGCAAATGTGAACTACATACAGCCTTGCTGTTCAAACCGACCTTTTGGTCCAGTGCTTATTCTACAGCCTTATACTAGGACTCCTCACATGCATGAGGTGATTAAAAATACTAGGGCTGGAGTCGGGTACATTTTAGTCTTCTAGGTGACTTTTTTTTTTTTTTTAACTCTTCACAGACATCTTTTGCAGCAGATTTGTTTAATATATCATTTGATTTCTTGATCAATCGTTGCTTCTATGTGCATTAATTATGGATCTAAGTAAAATGAAATCACTGACAACTGTAATCTCCATCTATCACACTGTTGTTTATTGGTCCATTTGTGAGGATTTTTGTTTTCTTTACATTGATTTGTAATCTATACTGAAGGCTCTAGTCTTTGATCTTCATCTGTAAATGCTTTAAGTCTTCTTCACTTTCAGCAAGCAAAGTGTATCATCTGCACGTCGCAAGTTGTTAGTGACTTTTCCGGCATTCTTGATGCTGCTTTCTTCATATGGTCCAGCTTCTTGGATTATTTGTTCAGCATACAGATTGAATAAATATGATGAAAGGATACAACCTTGACACATACCTTTCCTGATTTTAAACCACTCAGTATTCCCTTGTTCTGTTGGTCTGTGTACGGTTCCGCATGAGCACAATTAAGTGTTCTGGAATTACCATTCATTGCAAAGTTACCCCTAATTTGTCATGAATCACACAGTTGAATGCATAGTCAGTGAGCACAGGTAACATCTTTCTGGTATTCTCTTCTCCTAGTATATGCTCTGATAACATATACTTCATTCAGCTATGGCCCTTCTAAAGGTTCTTTACTTTTCTTGGTCCTTTGATGACAGTAACAAATGTAAAAAAAAGTCTCAGTTGACTTTCCTTTTGCCTGAAGCCCTTTGAGCAGCATTTACATGTCAATTTTATGATGTTCCAGTTGTTGTAAGTGCTCTCAAATCGGTTCTGACTCTTAACGACCTTATATAGGGTTTTTGAGAAGAAGCTGGTGAGCTTGAACCTCTGTCTGATCTGGTGGTTCAAACTGACCTTGTAATCCAGGTTGTATCATTCAGTTTGGCTGGCTAAATTTTTGTTGTTAAATACTGTAAAGTCAGTTCCAACTCATAGCGACCCTATATAGGATATCCAAGGAATGGCTGGTGGGTTTGAACCACTAACTTGCAATTAGCAGTCAAGTTTTTATCCTACAGTGCCACATACCAGGACCCTAATTAAATTTTTTATTTTGTTTTAATCATATAAAAATATACTCATTATAATGTATTTGGGAAAACAGAAAGAAAAAAATTAGTACCATAAATATTTCCCCTCCCAAAAATAACCATTGTATGTTGTTGTTTTTAAGTGCTGTTGAGTTGTTACTGACCCATAGCAACCCTCTATAGAGTTTCCAAGGAGCGGCTGGTGAGCTTGAACCACCAACCTTGTGATTCAAGCTGACTTTGAAGTCTAGTGCATTAACCCACAGCACCACACCAGGACTCTAAAGCATTTTATACATTTCATTTATTTATTATCTTTCATGTATTTTAGACTATTTGATTTTCTTTTTCTAATAAAGAAATACTGGAAAGCTCTTATTATATATAGCATTTGTTATTTCAGGACAAGTTTAGCATGATTAGGTTTGTGTTCAGTTTGAGATGGTTAATTTTAAATAATCCTTGTTAGTGCCATCAAGTTGGTTCTGACTTAACAGCAACCCTGCATATGGTTTGTGAATAATGACTGGTGGGTTTGAACTACCAAGCTTGCATTTAGCAGTCCATTACTTACCCTACAGTGCCAGGACAATTTTTTAGATGGGGATAAACACCAAGCTAGCCATAGGTAACCAGATAAAGGATTTGTTGTTGTTATTACTAAGTGCCGTTGAGTTGGTTTTGACCTATAGAGACCCTGTACAGGGTTTCTGAGGAGCTGCTGGTGAGTTTGAACCGCCAGCTTGCAGTTCAAACTGACCTTACAGTCCAGCACGTTATCCTGCAGCGCCACATCAGGACTCCAGATAAAAGAGGGAGGTAGGACTATATCTGTTTGAAAGGTTTTATTTTGTAGCATTACTCTGATTTGTACTGTTGTTGTATTTGTCAGGATAAAGAAAAGAACATACTTGTCAAGGAATTAAGAAACAAGATCCCTCCATTTTCTGGGTTTTGTGATTCAAGGTGGGGCTTGCCTGTACAGAATGACTTCAAAAATGGGAGAAAAGGTCTTTCCCTTTTCTTAAGAGCTTTTAGTAGAATTATTAAAGGTGGTAGAATATCTGCCATATAGCTAAGGTTGAGTAGGTCCCATCTGTCATCACTACTATACTTGTTGTTAAGTCCATTGAGTCTATTCCAACCCATAGCGACCCGGTAGAGGGTTTCCAAGGAGCAGCTGGTGAGCTTGAACCACCAACCCTGCAGTTCAAATGACTTTGCAGTCTGACGCATTAGTGCCACACCAAGACTCCCACTACTATACTTAGGACATGAGAAATGTTTCAGGTCAGTGTATTGTCTTGTCTTATCACGTTCCTTCGACTACATCTTTGTGGCTTGCACCGCTTTGACTTCTGAGACCTGATGCCACAGACAAGAGACTCTTGAGTGGCTGGGAGTAGGCATTCTACACTTCTGCTTAGCATCTGCACATCAGGAAGTCACTTGTCCTTGTGAGTCATTTCTTTTAACAAAGCTGAGCCATAAGCCTTAATTGGTGCTTGTCAATTAACCTTCCTAAACATTTCCTTTTAGAGGAAACTCACTTGACCTTTTTACAGTAGAAGAAAAACAAACCTAGAGAAAGCACTAGTTGAAGATCTTGTTTAGAATTTAGTTGACTTTATAGCAGATAAAAGAAACTCTGGTAGCATAGTGGTTACAAATAGGGTTGCAAACCTCAAAGTTAGCAGTTTGAAACTACTAGCTGTTCCGCGGGAGAAAGATGAGGCTTTCTGTTCCTGTAAAGATTTACAGCCTCAGAAACCCAGTACAAGGTTGCTGTGAGTCGCAATCAACTCCACAGCACTTAACCACCACCACCACATAGCAGATGAGATCATGGAAATTTACAACTGTCATGTAAGAATGGGACAGATAGCCATGACCCCTTGTTTTATGAATATCTCCATCTCCTTACACACTGTGCTTTTTGCCTGAGATGTAACTATGATGAGTTGTGTGGCACTGTAGGATAAGCACTGGACCTCAAGATTAGTTTGAACTGCCAGACGGTTCAATTCAACCATCTGCTCCTCGAAAACCCTATATAGGGTCCATATGAGCTAGAAGTGATTTGATGGCACTATCCAACAATTAATAATCATGTGATCTTAGACTTTTTTTTTTTTTCTTTTCTTTTTTTAAATTTTTATTGTCAACTGAGTGACAGTTTACATGAGAGAACACCATCGTTTCACTGCAGTGATTACAATCTCCTCCATGTGTCATCATTCAACAGTATTTGCGTCCTTTCCCTGTTTTGTTTTGTTTTTGGGTGGGGGTATGTACATAGAAACACTCAGGAATATATAATCATTTAAACAACCAAAGGGCACGTTCTGCCGGCCTGCCTCCTGTCTGCCGGCACCCAGTCCTTCTCTTTACATGAGTCTAGAGTCCTCAGCTGCTCCCCCTCTCCATGTCCTCATCTCTGCCTCCATCTCTGGTGTCACTGCTTCTCTGGATAGGATCCTGCACTCTCTTTGTGCTCTTCTTTCTTGATAGTCCTAAGGTCCTCTGTTTCTGTACTGTAAGATTAACTACTCCCCCATTTTTGTTATAAACCTTCTACCTTTACAGTTGTGACCATTGCTATTAATCATGATAACAATTAATCACTATTGAATCATAAAAATCTTACCCCCATCTCATTTCCCTAGTCCAATCTAGACAAGATGAAAACTATTCAGTGGGGACTGTCCCTTCCCTCTGCCCCCCCTGCACACTTAAACTAAACTCCCTCTTGAAACCTTATAAACCAGCCCCTTCATGCCTTTTATCGCCCCCTCATTTTAGGTTGCCAATGCCTAAGTTGCCCATCCCTATCTGCCCTGTATACAGAGGGGGATAGGATTGATACTTGATGTGATGACTCCTTCCTAATCTCTGTTTATAATTTGAGTTACTACATGTATAAGTAAAGGTTAAGTTCATCAAATTGTAGCAATTTACACTCATTTCCTTGTTCAAAAACTTTGTTTTTTTTTTAATCTTTCTCTAGTCGAGTTCTGATTATCAAGGCTATGTCAAATGGGCACTATCTGCAAGATTTGGGCATTGTTGTGCATCTCCCCTCACTTCATATCAGCTGGATGCTTCACGCTCAGCTATAGCCCTCCATGGCTATGCCCTTGTCCATGGGCTCAGGAGTCTCCAGGTCTCACCACACTTCAGACCAATGAGCCCTTCCTCTTCTCTCGCTCATCTCCAGGTCAACAGGAGTCTATGGAATGTGGTTGAACTCAGCCCATTTCTTCATCACTGCCTTTCCCCCTTTTCCACTCACCAATAGACCAACATGGTCACCAGCAAGCTTACATGCCTGCTCATGTGTTCCCTTTAAGTTTTAGTCTTGAAGGGGAGTTTCTTAGACTTTTTTAAAAATAACTTTCTATTGTGAATTGAGTGAAGGTTTACTGAGCAGATCATAGGTTTTGTATTCAACAAATCATATACATTACATTGATTCCAATCCCTTCCATGTACCAACATTTAACAGTATTTAACTCTATGATCTTAGACATTTGAGATATTTTGAACTTTTAGAGGAAGTGGTACCCTGAACAATAAAAGGGAGGAGCCATAGAAAGTTAGCACAATGTTCTTATGAAAGAAGATTACCAGTTTTACTAAATTACCTTACATTTTTTCTGTAATTATTTGACTTTTTTTTTTTTTTTTTTTTTTCAGTATTGCCTGTCTGGGCACCCAACTTTACCATGCAATGTACTCAAATTCAAATCAACTACCATTATGCTGGACTGTGGACTAGACATGACTTCCACCCTCAATTTCCTTCCTTTGCCACTTGTTCAAAGGTATGTACTGATGCATCCCAGGACAAAATAAACTTTAATTTGCTGAAAATGATACCCATTAATATAAAGATTACTAGTACCTTATGTGTTGTCATAGTATACTTTGTTCCCTTAAAAATGTTCTTTATCAAAATAATTTCCTTTGGCTGAGTTGATGGAAAGTGTTCTATTGATTTATTGATTGACTTCTTTATTATAACTTATTCTGAGCTTCTATAAAGTGTTCCTGCAACTGCTTAGTATAATTGAGGTCATGTATATTTCATCTTTCTTGCCAATTCCTCTAAGAGCTGATAAATGGTCAACAGATGAACCCAAGAATTGAATTTTAGAATCATGTAACTGCTTTTGCAGAGATTTGACATCATAGAGTCTGACAATTCTTTTTGATAGTTATCTTTGCATTATCTTTGTAGTAGTCTAGTTTAGATAGCATAGACATACATGTAGCTAAAGTCCATGACTTTGCATAGACAGATTACCCTAGACCTATAATCAGCACTGTTTGCTCTTATTAAATATTATGAAATCAGTTCCCCAGCTTCCTGCTATGTAGAAGCTGCAGTTTATAAGAGGAGTGGTTAACTTTTAGAAGGAAACTCATAGTAACAAAATGTGATATCACATTCAAAAGTAGATCGTAGGAAAATTATCTAAACCAGATTTAAGAGCTCAAAAGCATAGCAAGCTGGATAAACTATCTAATGTAGCCAAGCCACTCCTGAAGATAGCACTTTATGCAATGATTATTCATAATGATAATCCTGTGGACCATCTTGAGAAATTATTAAAATCAACCATTGATTTCCCTGCGATGAGGAAGGTTATAAGGTGATAGAGAAAAGGTCAGAGATCATTCCAGATTACATTTTATGCAAAGCTGATGATATTAAATTCAAACCTAGTACTTAAACATTTTTCATTTGCACATATTATATAAAAAAGTAAAAATAATAACTTTACCATCATTCAAGAACTGTAGAATCACAAACATTGGAAAAAAATTCTAATTAAAATAACATACTGTTATTGACTTCTTCCTCTCGAAGATTAGAATATTCCTTCACTTGATACTTGTTAAGAGTCTATACTATGCTGAACCAGGGTATTCAAACATTCACAAGGCAACTTTCCTTCCCTCATGGGAAGGGCATTACACAATTGAAAATCTGATTATACTTGTGATAAGAATAAAACTATATACTTGATATAATTATTGTTGTTGTTGTTGTTATGTGCCGTGGAGTCCGTTCCAACTCATAGCGACACTGTACATAGCGAATCTTTACAGAGCAGAAAGCCTCATCTTTCTCCCGTGGAACAGCTGGTAGTTTCGAACTGCTGACCTTGTGGTTCACAGCCTTATTCATAGCCACTATGTTTAGAAAGTAAAATACAAGATACTGTGAGAGTAGTCAAAAGAGGCCTAACTTGCTCTGTGGAATTATGGATTTTCTAGGTGTTCAAAATATGAATTGGATAGACAATCCCAGCTACATCTTTTTGTTTCCTGTTCATTCTTTGCCTGTTTTCTGTATTCTTACAGACATGCCTCAGTACTGGAATCTACTTCCACTCTCTTCCATTTGATATGTTTTACTCTCAGAGGGAAGTCTTTTCACCTGCATATCTCAGGTTGTTAATGAGTCTTCCTTTAATCCTGATGCCACATTCTTTTCATATAATTGGGCTTCTCCCCTTATTTGCTCAACATGCAGATTGAATAAGTATGGTGAAAGAATACACACCTGGCACACACCTTTTCTGATTGTAAACAATTGACTTCTTTTTTATAACTTAGTCTGAATTTCTATAAAGTGTTCCTGCAACTGCTTTGTTTAATTGAGGTCGTATATATTTCATCTTTCTTGCCAGTTCCTCTGAGAGCTGAGAAATGGTCAACAGATGGTCGGTCAACAACCCTTGTTGTATTTGAATGACTGGTTCTTGGTCTATGTATAGGTTCTTAATTATGCTCACCTCATGAGCACTATTGTTGTTATGTGCCGTGGTGTAGGTTCGGACTCATAGTGACCCTGTACAGGGTTTCCGAGGTTGTAAATCTTTACGGGAGCAGAAAGCCTTAGCTTTCTCCTGCGGAACATCTGGTAGTTTCAAACTGCTGACCCTGCGGTTCGCAGCCCAATTCGTAACCACTATGCTACCAGAGCTCCTTCATGAGCACAATTAAGTGTTCTTAAATACTCATTCTCTACAGTGCTGTCCATGGATCTGTTATCCATGGCTTGTCATGATCCACACGGTCAAATACCTCTGCATAGTCAATACAGCACAGGTATTGTTTTTCTAGTGTTCTCTGCTTTCAACCAAGATCCATTTGATGTCAGTAATGATGTCCCTCATTCCACGTCATCATCTGAATCCAGCTTGAACCTCTGGCAGTTCCGTATCAATGTACTGTTGCAGCCTTTTTTTAAATTTATCTTTAGCAAAATTTTACTTGCATGTGAAATTAATGATGTTGGGTCACCTCTCATTGGAATGGGCACAGATATGGTTCCAATCAGTTGGCCTAGTAGCTAGCTGTCTTCCAAATTTCTTAGAATAGGTGAGTGAGTGTCTTTGGTGCTGCATCAGTTTGTTGTGAGATTTCAGTTGGTATACCATCAATTCTTGGAGTCTAGTTCTTTGTGTGTGTCTTCAATGCACCTTAGACTTCTTCCTTTGGTACCATTGCTCTTGTTCATTTGTTATCTCTTGAAATGGTTGGATATCAACCTTTTATTTTTGGTACAGTGACTGTATTCCTTCCATCTTCTTTTGATGCTTTCTGTGTCACTTAATATTTTGCCCACAGAATTCATTACTATTGTAATCCTTCACTATTGAATGTCCAGGCTTGAATTTTTTCCTTCAGCTTGAGAAATGCTGAGCCTTTTGGTTTTCTGACTCCAGGTTGTATATTTCATTATTAGTATTCTTTGTTTTTTCGAGTTGCCCTGTGAAATTTTCTGTTCAGCTCTCTCTTACTTCATCATCTCTTCCATTTGCTTTAGCTTTTCTATGCTGAAGAGCAAGTTTCAGAGTCTCTTCTGACATCCATTTTGGTCTTTTCCTTCTTTTTTGCCTTCTTAATGACCTTTTGCTTTCTTCCTGGTTGATGTTCTTGATGTCATCTCACAACTCTTCTGGTTTTCGGTCATTACTGTCTAATACATCAAATCTGTTCTTGAGATGTTCTCTAAATTTGAGTGGGATATGTTCAAAGTCATATTTAGGCTCTCCTAAATCAATGGGCTCAAGCGTGGCAACAATTGTGAGGTTAGCCCAGGACCGGACAGTATTTCACTCTGTTGTATATAGAGTCACTATGAGTCGGTACCGACTCGATGGCACCTAAAACCAGCAACAACAACTTGTTTTTATTCCTCAGATTCCGCCTGAACTTGCATACAAGCAATTGTGATGGTTTGTACCACAGTCTCTCCTTGACCCTGTTTTGGCTGATGATATGGAGCTTTTCTACCATTTCTTTCTACATTTGTAGTCAATTTGATTTCTATGTATTTCAAATGTGAGACCCACGTACATAATTCTTTTTCTATGTTGTTTAAAAAGGCATTTGCAAAAAAAAAAAAAAAAAGTGATTGAACTTGCAAAATTCTGTTATGCTATATCCGGCTTACTTTTATCAGCAAAGCCATATTTTCCAACTATTGATCTTTCCTCTTTGTTTTCAACTTTTGCATTACAATCACCAGTAATTATTATTACATCTTTAAAAAAAAAAAAGTTTTATTGTGAATTGAGTGAAGGTTGCAGACAACATCATCAGCTTTACCCTCAATAAATCATATGTTTTGCTTCATCTCAATGATTACAATGTCCTCCCTGCAACAACAGTTATCATGCTTACTCCCTGTGGCTTTCCTTTTACTTCTTATTTTTCACAAATCAACAAAGCAAAAATATTTGAAGTACACATGCAAAGCAAAAAATATGTATTCATTTAAATGTCCAAAGGGCACATTTTGCAAACATGCCTTCTGCCCACAGGCACACAGCATTCTCAGTCCATCAGCCTAGAGTCCACAACTGCTTGATCTCTCCATGCCATCGCCTCTGCTACTTTCTCTACTGTCAACTCTGTTCTAGGCAGGATCTCACGTTCCATTCATGTTCTTCCTTCTTGGTGGTCCTGGAGTCCTCTGTTCATGAAATGAAAGCTTACTCCCCCCCGTTTAGTTACACATCTCCTAAGAATTATAGTTGTGACAATCACAATTAATCCTGCTAAAAAACTGGTGGTTAACTTAGTTACACCCTCCTTCCCACTTCCCCTGTATCCCATCTGTTGCTAAGCCCTGTCATATTTACCTTCCAGATGACTAGAATCTAGTCTGTGCTCTTCAGTTCTTCTATAGTCTTGTCATATTTTCTAGATAATAACTACAAAGGTCTTCTAACTGGTTTTTCTGATTCTCTTTCTGCTCTTTCTCTGAATCCAAAGTCATCCTTGAATTTTTGTGTAGCTTATTATTTTGAAAGAACTTCATATTTACAATAAATTTGAAAGAATAGTACATATAGCTCCCTGTTACCCTCTCCTGTTGTTCACATTTCACCAGATTTGCTTTATGTTTCGGCATGTAGCTTTTTTTTTCTGAACCATTTGAGAGTGAGATGCAGAAGTGATGCTCCTGATTTATTGTTGTTGTTTGCCATTGAGTTGATTCTGCCTTCATAGTAAACTTATACTTGAGTGTACTTTTCCTAATGTGAACACTTCTTTTACATAACCAAAAGTACAGTTACCAAAATCAGGAATTGAGCATTGATATTACATCACTATATCTCATCACCTTATTTATAGTGCACCACCTACCGCTATAATGTCATTTGAAAAAAATCTAATGGTTTCTGATCTGGAATCCAATCCAGATCTATCATTGGTATTAGTTATCTTTGGTGGTGATGATGGTAGTGGTGGTAGTAGTGGTGTGCTGGGAAGTCAGTTCTAACTCATAACCACCCTGCGT